TTGAAAACTGTCATTATTACAAAGCAGTACAGTAGAACTTGGATAATTCGAACTTCTTTAATTCGAAAACCTCTTTAATTCGAATATTTATCTTGGTCCCTAGAATTTCCTATATAAATAATTTAACATCTTTAATTCGAATTTTTGGATAATTCGAATTTTTTTTATGGTCCCTTGGGGTTCGAATTATCCAAGTTCGACTGTATTAAAAATTGAAAAAAAAAAAAAATCAATAAGTATATTTCATAATTAAAAATAAATGTCAGTTTCTCTCACATAATGGATTGAAATTACAGCAAATTATTAAAGAATAATGGGATAAGCACAAAAAAAATAAATTAATTAAAGAATAAGGTATAGAAATAGCATTTATGTCAAAGATGTACTATAAAAAGTAAACACTTTTTGATGATGTCCTAGAAGACAAGATACAAAAATTAAAATAAATTAGTAGGACGCGAGACATCTACTTCTGGAGTGCCCAATTTTCCAGGATTTTAGGGAAAATAGATTTGGTCGTATTGGACAGCTTGATGAATTTGTAGACAAAAAAGAAAAGTATAAAAATTTTGATCAATTTTGTAAATACATATACAACTTTCTCTTGAATTGGAAAAAAGAGAAAGAATCTTAGAAAAAAAGAACTGCGATGCTTGCTCTGTTGTTTGTTTTTCTCTTTGGACAATTTTCTTTAGTTAATTTATGTAAAATAATGAATTAAACAGGATTGTATATAGCCGAATTGCTGTAATGCAGTGAAAGGTATTGACGCAAATATCCCTGAGTTTGGGATATCGCGTTTCATGATGTTAATAAAGTTAATAAGTAGGATTGAAAATGCCAATAAAATGTCAAAAATAAACAAAATAGATTATTTTGCTATAGTAAAATAGGTTTTGAGAATTCAAATAAAAAATCTAAAAATTGAATATAAGGGTGTTACAATTTACTAGGGGGGTCGGTGGAAGGATGGTCTAAACCGTTGGTTTTCAACCTTTTTCTACAATACAGGTTTTATTCCCACATTGGACACTTTTTTCTGATTAAAAAAAAATATATATGCTCCAATGGCCCCCGATTCTTGCAAAAGTCCAACCCCACCAGCGAGTGCAAGTAACCAAACTGGGCTCCGGCACATTTGTAAGTGCAAAGTCAAACTGCTTTTCACATGTGTAGGCATGTGGTGCACTTACAGTAAAAGCAGTCGCCTTCTTCTACCCACCATGATTATCATGGCCTGTACCATGTGTACTAGAAATAAGCAAAAAAAAAAAAAAAACACAATTTACAGTCAAACCTCTTTAATTCAACACCCCAAGGGATCAGAGCTTTCGATTGAATTAAAGGAAGTGTTGAATTAAGGTTAGATGATTAGCTAATCATCTAACTCGCTGAAATGATATTTTTTAAAATTGCTTTGTAATATAAATTGATCATATTAATTGAAACCATTGTGTGTGTCCTTTTTTGTATTATTTTTTATTTTCATGATTAACTTTAGTATCAGGGACAAAATGGCAATAATACATATTTTTGAAACATAAATAATTACAAATAATATTATATTCTAATTGAAGAATATAGCAGTTGAAAGGAAATAAATACGGAAAATAAAAAGAAAATTTAAAAATAATCATTAAGATCTTTTTAAAAATTCCTTTATAGATGTCTGTTTTTGCACTGAAATCCTATTCAGGATATATTCCAGATAGTCTATTTAAAAAAAACTTGCATGTCTTTCTTCCTCTGGAATGTGTTTTAAATAACTATTGTATTAAAGACATCCACTGCTGCTGCAGGTGTTATTGATTTTGTGTTTAAATCTTTTATAATAATATGGAAATGAATATTGAAATAAAATGTTATCATAATCATTGTGGCTACATTTTATGAAGATTTATTTATTTGAAAGGAAATTATTTGTAAATTTTAAAATAACAAATATTTCAATGCTGAAATTTAAAAAGAAAATAATATTATTAACCCTTAAGTACTCGTGCGGGGTCTGATAGACCCCAGACAAACTTATTTCATTAAATATCTAGAATTCTATAAAACATTTGGGGATCAAAACTTTAGTAGCTTAATTTGATATGACAATGAATATGCAAACCTATATTAACTTAATTTTGTTGCCCTATAATAGACAATACAATGGAGTTGGGGTCCATTGGACCCCGCGCGAGTAATAATGTAACTTTAATTTTCAAGCCTGGTGAAATAGGTAAGCTACCTTATCGCTCTGCAATAATTTATATCCTTTATCAATGACTTTAATTAGTTTTTTAGGAACATTGAATAAAAATAAAACGAAAATATCCCCCATTTTTTTACTACAAAAGCTACGTTCAACCCACACTTTCATTTTTGGAGTCAAGGAAAGAGAGTAGACTAGTTTAGTATGTACTACAAAAAAAGTCTAAAACAGTTATTTTAATTTCAATAATCGACTCCACAAAACAAATAAATTCTGAATCTGGTGGAAAATATGAAACAAAATAAGGTGTTGATGTAGTTGATCAATTGTGTAAAATTCGACAGTAAGTAGGAGGACAAGGAGGTGGCCATTGTGTCTCTTTTTATTTCATCAATCTTTCAACAAAAGTTGTATATAAAAGGAACAAAAATTGGAAATATTTAAAAGATGATCGTTTATTGAAGAGATTACATTTGGACTAATTGACCCGAACCTAACAAAACGGGAAAACAGCAAAACGGAGGGTTGCCGATTTTGTGATCGATACAAAGACTAAAATCCAAAATTAAATGTGCTAAATGCGCTAAGCACATTTATACTGAACACTCAACAACACTTTGCAGTAAGTGTGCACAAGAATAATTTAGATTTTCATTTATAATTTTAAGGAAATTGTTTGTATATATTGATAGTTAAGAATTTTTGCCGTATTACCAATTTTATAAGATAAAAATAATTAATAGTGTAATTTTTTATAATAAATTGATATATTTGTAAACTAGAGACTATTATTTTCGCTGAAAGCAACAATTATTTCCATATTTTATTTTTTAAGGATTTTATCTACGAGACCCCGCACGAGTACTAACGTCAGTAAAATAGGCGTGAGTAACTAAGGGTTAATTAGCATGCGATTCCTAAATTCCAGCGCAAATAAAAAACAATAACACTCGCGACATTGCCCAACGGCACTTCAAAGTTAAACTTAAACTAACAGAAATCAAAAGTGCACATGCGCAATCTTATCAGCGCCCGCCATCGCCGCTGCCGTCGTAATACCGTTAGCGATAAAGTTGTATGTAAAAAAAAAAACATTTAACTGTCGAAATTCAAATTATAAAATGGTCGAACTATCGGAACTGTCGTATTATCGATACTGTCAAATTAGGGTTTGTTATTTGATAGGCCAGAGGTCGGGACATCAGAATATGGTCAAATTAAGGTAGAGTGTCAAATTTGCGTGTGTCGAATTAACGAGGTTATATTGTACTTTTTTTTAATTATAAAGTTTCAATATATATATATATATATATATATATTTTACAAATATGTATGATTGTAACAATAACATTTGTTTTCATGGAATAAAAAAAAATGCATGTTTTATTAATCTCTTACTTCTAAAAAAAAAAAAAAGTGATTAATAATAATTCTAATAAAATTGATAACTTTTTTTTTGGCTCATCCCTAGTACACGTGGTACAGGCCATGATAATCAGTTCAACTTTGCCCTTACAAATGTGCCAGAGCCCCCTTTGGTTACTTGCACTCGCTGGTGGGGTTGGACTTTTGCAAGAATCAGGAGCCCTTATTATTAATTCAGTCACTTTACAAATATATATTCCTATACATTCCAACAAAGTTATAATCCACTCACTCCAGAAACCTGGGTTAAATATAAAAATGGGATCATGATGAATCATGAATTCAGTGGCATTGCGCAATGTCGCTAGCGTTATTGTTTTTTTTTTTTTTTTTTTTTTTTACGCAGGAATTTAGGCATCGTAGGCCAATTAATAATATTATTTTCTTTTTAAATTTCAGCATTGAAATATTTTAGTTATTTTAAAATTTACAAATAATTTCCTTTTAAATAAATAATTCTTATAAAATGTAGCCACAATGATTGTGATCACATTTTATTTCAATATTCCATTTCCTTGTTATTATAAAAGATTTAAACACAAAATCAATCTTTATGATTCTTTTAAAATAATATTTAAAAATTTTCTTTTTAATTTTTATTTATTTTCAACTGCTATATTCTTCAATGGAATAAAATATTTGTAAATATTTATGTTTCAAAAATATGTATTAATGCCATTTTGTCCCTGATACTAAAAGTTAATCATGAAAATAAAAACAAAAAAGTACACACAATTATTTCAATAAATATCATTAATTTATATTACAAAGCTATTTTAAAAAAAATATTATTTTAGCAAGTTGGATGGTTAGTTAATCATCTGAACAACTTTAATTCAACACTTCCTTTAATTCAACCGAAAGCTCTTATCCCTTGGGGTGTTGAATGAAAGAGGTTCGACTGTATAATCCTCTCTTTATAACAGACTTTAGATAGAAGAACAGAAAAAATCGAGTTTCTTAAAAGTTGAATTGATTAAAATATTCACATCATCAGCTCTACACACAATGGTTAAAGTCAGTTTAAATTTTTAATATAAAGAATCAATATTTTAAAGTTTGATTTTGATTCTAACTTATTTTATATTTAAGTCACACATTTAAATTGAATTCAAAGCCCATTCTAACAACAAGGGTGACATACGAATAGTCCTACTTGTGGGCCAAAATATTCCTGTGTATAGCTTATTTTATATGTTTACAATTCTTTATATAAACATATTAAGGTATATGTTTATAATTAAAACTGAGTATTCATGACCAATAACCATTTATTGCTTAGTTGTGATTTATTACAAAATAATGCTTTTGTTTTACCATTTACCAACTATTAACTCTTTCTCTCAAATATTATTTTATATAATTTAACCATTATAAAAGGGGGGTGGTTGAAGGCTGGTTAAACCGTTTGGTTTTCGACCACTAGGACCCGGGTTCGATTCCCGCATTGGATACTTTTTTCTGTTTAAAGAAAAAAAAAATGCTCCAATGGCCCCGGTTTCTTGCAAAAGTCCAACCCCACCAGCGAGTGCAAGTAACCAAACGGGGCTCTGGCATTAGTAAGTGCAAAGTCGAACTGCTTTTCACATGTGTAGACATGTGGTGCACTTACAGTAAAAGCAGTCGCTAACTACCCACCATGATTATCATGGCCTGTACCACGTGTACTAGGGATAAGCAAAAAAAAAAAAAAAACATTATAAAAATGTATTACGCAATGTTTTTATTATTATACACATAATACAGTAAAACCCCTCTATAGTGAACCCCAATTGGACAGAGCTTTTGGTTCACTATAGCCACGGTTTGCCATTTTTTTTTTTTTAACTTTTCTAAATGTTTAGACCGTATAATTAAAAAACAGCCATACAAACAGGAAAAGGCAGCCACTTAATAATGGTCACTTTGTTTTAATTCCCTAAATTGACCTATTTCTTTACATTAATGCTGAATATCAAAAGAAGTCATTTGATAATAGGTTCATCTTATCATTAGCATACATGTTTATATATAAACCTATGTATTATTTAAAAATTAAGCCAAATCCCCTAGGCAGAACATTATTTATATATTTAAAAGGTATAAGAGTATTTTAGAACATCCTTCTCAAATAATATAATATTAAAAAACGCCTCTAATACCTTGTTGTTTCAAAGTGAAAAGTGAAATTTAAAAATAAGAATTGTCTTAAAATATTGTTATTTCCATCAAAGAAATAAAGCTCAGTGTATTCTGAATCAATTGAGGATGAATTAAAAGTATCCAATTCAGAAAAATCGGACGCGAAACATGATACGATAGCACGATCGGTAAAATTGCGAATAAAAAACACCAATTTGCAAACACAAAATCGGTGGTAAAACGGCCGGCCAGGGGGAATATTCGCGAATTCTTATGACTCATATACCTAACAAGAATTCCATTCTAAAAATAGAATTTTAGTGGTAGTTTTTGAGAATTTATAAGTCCATTTGTTTGTGGCCCATGAGACACGAGGGAACTTGGGGGAACTGTTTTTTTTTTTCTCTCTTCTTCCAATTCCAGTTTCCACATATTCTTCTGAAGTGTATATTTAATTTTGTTTTTAACCTGTTATTCAAACCATTTCTGGCCTTAAAATTATTTGGAATTATTTTTTAGCCTAGGTTAAACTTGATATAAAATGCTTCTAAAAGGGCAGGCTGCCCTGCTTTTTTTTTTTTTTTAGAACGGCACTCTTTTTTTCTTTTCTTTATTTTGGAAGCCATTTGTATTTTTCTTCTATTTCAAAATTGTCGAATGCAAAGATATTCTATTAAATAAAAGTATAATGTGTAAAAATGTATACAACATACAGCAAAAATAGAATGGAAATGAAAACAAACAATGCCGCTAATTTTTTTGTTTTGAAATCGCGATCCGCGAGCTGAAACATGCTCAAAATTTTGTTGTTTCAAAAAATTTTTAAATCACAATTTTAAGTTCGTTATAAGCATAGTATTTTTAATAGATTTTATCATTTTGGGACCGAAAATAGGTTCGTTATAGGGGTAGTTCGTTATTTTAAAAATCGCAAAGTTCGTTATAACGATGGTAATTTCAATGGAATGGAATTGGGAATTGCCGCAGGTTCGTTATAAGGGAAGGTTCGCTATATGTGTTTGTCAACTTTTATATTTATCTGATACAAAGTTCCAAAAAGAAATAATGATGGCTACAAATCTATTTCTGGTAAAAGTGTGACTAAAGATAAAAACCATAGTGACAAAAGAAAAAAGGCTTCAGAACTCAAAGATATGTTGGGAGATAATTTTTTAAACCCAAAAATGTTATTTATAAATGCGATGAAACTATTTTTTTAACATAAAAATAATCACTTTTTAGCATTTTAAATAATATAAAAATCAAATCAATTTCTAAAATTGCACTATTATAAACAACTCACCAGCGTTTTCTGAGTCAGAATCATCTTTGTTTTCCTCTGAAACACAACAAGTTTTCAGGATTGGGAAGTCATATACAAGGACGGTGAGTAAAACATGGGGAAACTTCTATTAAATTGGATAATGGACATTCTTCGTTTCTGATCATAATACCTAAATTGGGAGAATTATTCTACATAGGTTTAACACCATATTTTTTTAAGGGCTCTAGCTATGGATTATGGGGAATATGGAATGATATATATTACCTATAAATTTCAGGTTTTTTGGCCATTAAGCAGACCGATGAAAATGTCACAGGAAAAGGATTTGAGATAACCTTATGGCAAAAAGTCTTTAATAATGTTTGCATTTCTTCCTTTTTTAATTGAGGCAAGGAACAATATGTAAATACTCTTTTAGATAAGATTTAATGGTATTGATCTTATGGCTAAGAGAACAGTACGAAGAATATTTTATGTAATTTGGTATAAAGGATATCTTATACAGTTGTTTACAATTTTTCTTATATTTTTATTATTTTTTGATAACTCAAGGAGGAACCATTATTCTCTTTTGCAACTGCAAAATTAATGTTTGAATGATAACTATTCATGTAATCATCACCTACCGGCTTCATCAATGGCCCCACCTAGCACCCCAGTCTCTACACGGGCCTGCTGGAGGAGGGCCTTGCCGTACAGGTGGTGGACCTCTGCACATTCCACGCCGAGTTCCCCATACACCTGTACATATAGCCCGCAGGCCTGCTGCAGGCTCTCCACAGCATTGACCCAGTCCTGCACCAGCAGGTGGCGCTTGCCCTGCATCAGGTGGTTGACAGCCGCCGTCACCACATCCTTGTCTCCACTGCACCACACATACTTACCACATTCATTTCTAACAGAAAATTTGTCATTTGTATTAGGAAAAAAAATTGCTATGTAAAAAGATCCTAATCAAAATGCTGTTAAAAACTTGGAAATGGGTCTTGTTAACTTGCATTTCTAAAATTTTGCTCAAATATAATTTTTTGGCCCTAGAACATTATTAGCCTTCTGAATATGTGACAGATAATTTAAGATATCTCAAAAAAACTTGTCTTCATTTAACTTTCTCAAAACAAAATGATCTAAAAAAACTACCAAGAAAAATTTTGAAAGGCTGCCTTGTGTGAGGTCAAGGACACTTGAAAATTAAGTTCTTGATCATACATCCCATGGCAACTAAGGGGTCTTTACGCCCATTGAAGAACGATGTCGTTCGAAAGCTAGCGAAATAAACATGTTTATAGAAAAAGCTCCTTTTGAGTTTATAATCTTACAATGTAAGGGATTATTCATTTAGTTAACCCAGAGTACACAGTAGCCAACTACCCGGGACTTGTAGTAGAAGAGTAGGTGCTTTACCTCAGCCAATATCTACATTCCTACCCTAGTCATGAAATGGAAGGATTCTTTAAACCCCATAACCTATTACCAGGCTACAAAAATAGTCTCAGCCTGAGAGAGATATTACCCAATCACCAAGCCTATTTGTGACCCCCCCATTATTTACACAATTAGAGAGTATATTGGAGAGGCACCAAATACACTTGAAGAATGTGTAAAACCACATAAATCAGTTATATTTCCTAGTAGAATATGCAATAATAGTCATACATATCTAACTGGAAATATATACCGCAAAATAATTTGACCCAAATATCCCTCGCAAACATGAAGGGATTTTAAGAGCTGATTTTCTTTAATTGATACTTACAGCACATACATACATACATGGACAAATGATAGACACAAAACTTATCACATATATTAACTCAGCAAAATCTGCCTAGATTCCACTCTCAACATGGGAGATGAATTTTTACAAGAAAATGAGTATACTCTGAAATGGATTTTGCTCAATATTTACAGTATAACCTCATTAATTCTGCATATGATAATTCAACCCTGTTTTAATGTTTCAACCTCCAACCTATCAAATAGACAAAGTAAATTTGACCAAATTATAATTTGATAAACTTTAAAATAAAATTTCAACATTATAGATAATTCATATTTAAATAAAAATGTACTGCTAAAACTACAATAATTTGGCAGGCTAGGCACAGTAGCTGTAGTTAGCGTATGTGCACCGTACTCAAGTGTTACAACGCGAATCGCAAATACTGGCATCAACATCACGCATTATTTTTGTTTCCTCCTGGATGATTTAGGTTCAAGTTGAGTTGTCTTAGAGAGAGTAACATTCTGCTATTTGAAGTAAGATAGAAGAAAGACACATGCCTTTTGAAGATGATCAGGTAGAATGCACACTAAATAGGGTTCTAGCCTAAAAGCAAACAGTCATTAAATATTTCTTTAAAAGATTGAATGATTTTTTTTTAATGAATTTTTTTAGCCTTTTCTTTATTTTCTAAATGAATTCACTTTCTTCCCATTGCATTTATTCACTTATATTGAAATAGTATTTGTAATTTTTCTTTGTTCAAAAATGCAATATAATTTTATTCATCACTAAAAGTTCACTAGAATCATGAAACATTCTGAAAAGAACTTTTGAAAGTTCCAATTCACATAATTAATTAAAATATAACACAGTATTTTCTAAAAATTTTATTTTAATTTTTTTTTGCTTATCCCTAGTACACGTGGTACAGGCCTTGATAATCATGGTGGGTAGTTAGCGACTGCTTTTTACTGTAAGCGCACCACATGTCTACACATGTGAAGAGCAGTTCGACTTTGCACTTACAAATGCCAGAGCCCCGTTTGGTTACTTGCACTCGCTGGTGGGGATTGGACTTTTGCAAGAATCGGGGGCCATTGGAGCATTTTTTTTTTTAAACAGAAAAAAGTGTCCAATGCGGGAATCGAACCCGGGTCCTAGTGGTCGAAAACCAAACGGTTTAACCAGCCTTCCACCGACCCCCCCTATTTTAACTATAAATGAATATACAGTGATATTGGAGATTTAACTGGCAAAACCGATGGAAGGGTGAACCCCTGATGAACCATGCCCTCACATTAATTTTTAATTGCAGTAAGGGCAGTAGAAAAT